TATGTTTTCTGCATGCATACAGGCCATGAATATTAAATATTATTGGAAAACCCTTTGCTAGGTTATACAGCATGCTGATTAAGGTACCTTGAATTAGATTATGACTCCTTCTCCACTAGCATTCCAACACATCCCCTCTGAAGTGCAGAGGGTTATGTAGCAGAAAGGTGCACAACAACCCTTAGGGGATTATAGTCCTTTGCTCCTCTGACACTGTAATAATGACTTTGCCCAATTCAATTGTTCCATACTCAAACAAATAATAAAATACTTTTGTCTCTCTTGAACAATTCAGTTTAACTTCTGATACAGACATGCATATCAACCAGCTTCTTTCCCAGCTTCACAAAGGCCAACTCACATTTAGTAATAATATTTTTTCCATATTTTATGCCTATGCCCGGTCTTTACATATTACATTTGAAAGTAATGATTGTTTTAGACTTAGGATACAAACAGAGAGATGCTTTGCCACAGACCAGTCTGAGAACATTTTTCCTGCTATCACACAGCTCAGGTGCTGGCTAGAAGGGTTGTTTTCCTTTCAAGAAATTTTCCACAAGTACTGTCACCGAGGAAGCCAAGAGTTGGTTTGGGTACACATGTGAAGAGAAGTAGCAGCTGCTGGTGGAACTGCGCTGATGATAACTATGACAAGAAGTGTTATAAATGCAAATGTGCTTTTAGGTTATGAGAACATGTAGAGACCACAGCCTCTGGTTGGGTTCATGCTGCCCCTGCAATGAAAAAAAGTATGGTAACAAAGCCATTTTTGCCCCAATGCAGCCTGCAGTCTAGTGACTGAATGCAGATCTTACTGAATGACGCACCGTAAAATCACTCCTGAAGAGAAAAAATAGGCAGCACTTGACAGCAGAATTGGCTAGGGTCTATTGAAAAACACTCACATTTTATGTAAAACAGTTCCTGTTTCTGTTCACCATTAATCCACGTGATAGTTCCAGCATGGGCTTCTGCCACACAGCTCTGCACTATTCTAGTCAGGAATGTCATGAGCAAAGCAATCTCAAGCCCTGCCTTCAAGCAAGAGTGGAAAAATAGGTCAGGGAAATAGCATTATAATCTGATTTAACTGCTCTTCAAATCATCACAATCTCTCTATTAATTTCAGCAAGAACTGGATTGGGCCCAAATTACAGACAACAAAATGGGAGGTTTATTTTAATACCTTGACTGCTTTATTGAAAATGCTCCGCTGAAAGAACTGAAACTAAGATTTTTTTTTTTTCATGTGCCTTCAGGTGGCTACATTGACTGACATTTCTATGTAAAAAGGTTCAAACTGAACAGATTTTCTGCACCTCAGCTGGAAACTGAAGCCCCAGCCTGTGAAGGGGCCACCCTTCCTTACAGCTAATGGGTGCCACTGAGAAGAGGGACAACTTGAGAATAAGAGTGCATCACCTGTGTGTTTCAGTAAAAGAACTCCACAAGTTGCTTCTGAGAGTGAAGTGGAGAGTCTGCAGTTTAAAAATATCTCACTCAACTGGAAGCTTCAAAGGCCAACGTAAGATGAAAAAGAAGATCTGGATTGTCCTGCTCTGCTCTACACTTTTATGTCCTCATCTCAAGTCCTGTGTGCAGGTTTGGGCATCACAATACAAGGACATAAAACTATTAGAGATCATCCAAAGGAGGGCTGCAAAGATGGCGAAAGGTCTTGAGAGGAAGATGTATGAGAATCAGCTGAGGTCCCTTGGAGTGTTGGGCCCAGAGCAGAGGAGCTGAGGGGAGGCCTGATGGCGGCTGCAGCTCCTCACAGGGAGCGGAGGGGCAGCGCTGAGCTCTGCTCTGTGTGACAGCGACAGGGCCCGAGGGAACGGCGTGGAGCTGTGTCAGGGGAGGGCAGCTGGGGATTAATTTCAGGGTCTGCACCACAGGGTGGTCAGGCTCTGCAACAGGCTGCCCAGGGCAGTGAGCATGGCCTCAAGATGCAGGAGTTCAAAGAGTGTTTGTGCAACAAGCTCACATATAGGGTTTGGTTTTGGGTGGTACTGTGTGGAATCATGAGTTGGGTTTTATGATAACCACATATTCTGGGAAAAAAAAAAAAAAAAAATTAGAAAAAGAAAAGAAGTCTGCCAAAGAATCTTGTTTTGGCAAATAATGAATGCCTAAAGAAATATTGTTTGTATTATGCAATGAACTTGTAATTAATGTTTGTTTGTTCTCTCTTTAATAGCAGTACTGCAAAAAGTAATGGGATTTTGATACCCATCACTTGTTTGTATGAGCATGCAAATTCTGAATCTTCATTCCCCATATGGAAGAGCTCCCAGGGGGTCATGTCATAAACCCATTCAAACGATCAAAATAAATTTGTAATTTGTATCCATACAAATGTGGAGAATGAGAAAGCTGCATGTATTGTTTCATTTAAATATAGTTAAGTGCCTCAGTTTACTTGTATGGTGATTTTCTGGTTGACTGCATTGAGGTAAATCGAGAGCTTTGATTAGGAACAATGAAAGCATCAAAACATCAAAATATAAATACAAATGGCAATATCAGGCCTTCAACCACTCCATAGATAAGAAGAGAGGTACATATAGACATGATTAAGCCAGTTCAAGAGATTGTCCCTGTACCTGATGCTACACTAGCATAAACTGCAGCTAAACTTAGCTGCTTGAGTAAGAAGGTAGGCATGTTGGTGGGCTGACTGAAACCTTTGCTGCCATGACTTCATTGCTCTTAGGGCTCTTCATTACCCATTAGTAAAGCCAGACATCGCACAGGTGGAGGTTGGGGAAGGTTAGGATGCAGAACAATGTTCAGCCTTGGATAACATGCATGAATATGGACATTGTACTGCTTCAGTCTTTTGTGTGATAGGTTATATTCTAGAGGAGTAATGAATTCTGGTTTGTTGTGAAAATGCTGTCCCTTTAATTTGCTGCTACGGGGGCACTGGAGTAAGGTTATAGCAAATGCCAAACTCATTTGAGCCCTGATTGTTAATATGTTTGGGCAACAGTGACAAAGCTGCCTCTCAGAAAATCAGTCCTGGAATGGCAGCATTGCACCACCAACTCAGAACAAGGTGCGTGAGCTATGGAAGTCAGCCAGGAGGGACAAAATAAGGTTAGTAACCAGCCTGCCCTGTAACCAAAACTAATGCACAATAGCCATGGATTGTGACAGGATTCAGTACAGCATGTTTTCCAGCTCCTCCTGGAAGATACTAAATATCCCTTCATTTCCAAAATAATTTCAAAATGAAAACTTGATCTCTTCTAAACATCAAGCAGAAAGTTTTGGTGGGTGGGGGAGTTCTCCAGGAAACAATATGAAAATTTTAAACTTCTCTGCAGGCTTTGAGCAGGAGATGAACACACAGACCAGGATGAGCTTAAGAGGAGACAGCTTGCAAGTGGGGGAGGCTACTGCTGAAGAAGGAGATTTAGGCCTGTGAAAACTCAGAAAACACATAGAACAGAAGTACTCCTGATAATGAGGTCTTATATGTAGCTGCATACTTAAGTTTTAGTTCTGATAGAAGTGAGATTGTTGTGTGGTTATTTCCAATGTTGTCTATATGAAATAGAAAATTTAGTAAACTATGGCCCAAGGCTGCTGCAGAAGCATTGATATTTCATTAATACTAAGTAAAATTGCATAAACAGGCCTGAAATTAAAAACTGTTCTCTAACACAAATGAAAAAGAGAAATACAAATACTGCCATGAGCTCAAGAGAAAGACAGATAGAAAACAAGTTATTCCACTTTTTTCAACTCTTCAAAATTGAATCTAACACAAGTATATTTAACACAAGTATAAAAACACTAATGCTTCTTTAAGTGCAGCATTTGCAATGCCATCATCACTGCTAAAAAATAACCTTAACAATAATTTAAGTCCCTGTTACAGGTCTTTCTGCTGCTCTTAAACTTCATCTATTTCCAGGAACAATCTGCTCATCTTTGACACCCCAAAATGGCAAAGAATCAATGTGTCATTATGCCATAAGAACAGCTGAAAAGCAAAGACTCGAACTTGATAAGAAAACTATGACCTTCACTTTATGTTCACAGCTTTGTTTTCTACAAAATGCAATTTAAAGAGAGAATTTAAGAACTTTATCTTGAAAATACAAATACTCCTTCCTCCAGGCAGATTTAGTTCATAGATCTGCTACTAGATTCTGCCACTAAGAAAATATTAGAAAAAAATAAAAAAAAGAAAGAAACAATAGGAAGACCTAACACTGACTTCAATGTTAGAAAAATGTTCAAATATGAAAAATAGACCTCTGAGGGCTACACAAAGAGCAATACATCTGCACTTACTAATCATGACTCTGAAAGAATAACTACTGCAGTAAGACACATGTTGAAAATGACATCTAACGCTTTTGTGAAGAAGGGCTGAAATGAGGAACAGAGTGTATGATTAGGGAAACTGTGCTGGATATTCAGAAAAGAGAATTCAGGTCTCAAACTGTGAGCATAAATGGCCTAATACTGTCACCCCTACACAGAATCTCAGTCTGGCATCTGGGTTAGTTGAGACAAAACTCTATACTGGGATAAACAGAGATAAAGTAAGCAAGTTAGAAAAAGAATGTTTGAGTCTAAATCCTGAAAAGAAAGGTTAATACTTCCACCTTCCTTTTTAAATTACAGATTTGCAGATTTTTTGCATCTATGATTTGTGATTCATTTTACAAAGCCTAAATTTACAGTTTGCCATATGTATTTTGTTCTTTCACAATGAATCTGAGTTGGTGTTTTTTTTCTTATGACTTTTCATTGTGCTAACAGTATACTACCAAAATATATCTGATATTTCTTTTCTTCACAAATTGGAGAAAATTATAGCTCTGCTTTTCAACTCACTGAAGGTGAGTTGCCCTGTAACATACAGGATCTACTAAATTTGTTTAGTCAAATGGGTGTGCAAACCTACACAGAACTTGGCATCAGATGGGAACACAGCTGAATACATATTAAACAACACATGGAACTGTATTTCATACCTGAGGTAGCACTGCTGGTCCTTGTCCTGCCAACCTCTGCAAGGAGCTGACCTGAGGAACCTTAATGGGCACTGCAGTGATAGTTCCCAAAGTCTGTTGAAAAAAACCAAACAAACAAGAAACAGTAGAACAAGGTTTAAAATACAGGCATAGTTTTCCCGGGTTCTACTCTACACAGAGGTTCCCTTCCCAATTGACTTGGACTAAAGAGTTACTTTTCCTTCTCTTTAACTCACTTCAAAGAACTGTTCATTAAAGCCTGTGCCTTCTCAGAGCATCTCCTAACTATGAGTGTGAAGGATGTGCCTTGTTATTGTGCTTTTTTTTTTTTTTTTTAGTACGCACAGCAAACAACCATGTGGCAACAACAGAAGGCTGTCTAGGCTTGTTTTTAAAAGATCTGGAGAAAGGTGAAATGCACCATCACAAGACTTCAAAATGTGCACTAGAAGGTGATGCATTGCATGGTTGCCAGAGTCATAAAAGAAGTTCACTTTGTCGTAGTAAACATTAAATAGTGAATTATTAAAATGGGAAGCTACTTATAAATCTGCTTTAACGCACTGTAACATAACATTCAGCTACGACAGCTGTTTATGAGGGTGGAAAATGGTCTTAAACTGAGGCAGGGGAGGTTTAGGCTAGATATTAGGAGGAAGATTTTCACACAGAGGGTGGTGACACACTGGAACAGGTTGCCCAAGGAAGTTGTGGATGCCCCATCCCTGGAGGCATTCAAGGCCAGGCTGGATGTGGCTCTGGGCAGCCTGGTCTGGTGGTTGGCAACCCTGCATATAGCAGGGGGTTGAAACTAGATGATCATCGTGGTCCTTTTCAACCCAGGCCATTCTATGATTCTATGACAGCATCCATTTGGACCAATGCAGCAGCTATTACCATCCACCTTTATTCACCCTTCCCTCGAATAACAATTTTATTCAAAGCTTATTTAAGAGATCTGATGTAGCTCCTTCAATGAGGAAATGTCTTTCTCATAAAGATTACTTTCTAAGCAGAGAGTCTGTTAACCCACTAATGTCTTTCTCACTTATGAATACAGAAGGACAACAACAGAACAAGTAAAACATGCTTTTGTAATACCGTCAAATACATTTAAATTCCTCCTCTCCCCCTAAAAAAATCTCAGTGACTGTTCAGCCTCACTCCTTTACTGGCTTTTCATCCATCTATAGCGATGCAGATAGAGGTATGAGATCTATTTCAGACAGTCTGAATGGTAGATCTTTTTCAAGACACACACAGATGCTTCTAAAATACTGAATTTGATATGTTGTAAATAACTTGTACTTATTTTCTCCAACAAAAAGGATAGATAACTCACAAACTTAACAGTGGGTTCTACATCTAAAGAATATTTCTAACTTTTCCCCTATACCCTCTTCCACTCATTCATCCTCTTACGCAGTTCATATTTTAGTTAGCTGGCCAGTACTCTTAAGACAAGTTTGTATAACTTCTATCTAATGTTTCCTAATTGCTTTTGGAATGTTGTGGCAATATAAGCAAGAAGATTGCTGCTGTTATAAGAGCATGGGACATAGTCACTGAAAAAAAAAAAAAAACACAAAACAAACCTGAAAAAATGTATTTGGTTGCTAGCAATGACTAATAACAAAAGAAAAACAGGTTCCAGTAAATTTCTCTGAACTTAAGTCTCCTCCGAACAAAGACATTGGATTACAGACAGCAAAATAAAATATGCTAATGTTATCCCAAACTGATAATGAAATTTGTCAATAAAAATGAAAGCATAATGAAGTCAGTTCAAGCAAAGAGAGGCTGTGTTATGTCCGTGTTGATGAGTTCTTCTCAGACTTCAACATCAGAGTCATAAAATAGTCTGCTTCATTTTAACTACAGTGTTTGATAAGAATGCCACACATTTTCATGCATAATATTTTTAATAAACCTGTCATACAGAGTTTATATTTTCAACACTGCCACTCTTCTTTGAGATATTTGGTTGTGTGGTTTTATATTTTCAAGAAAGTTTAAAAATTGCCAGAGTTGATCACTGAGGAGAACTGCATATCTATAAGCATGCAAGATCATTTTTCTCGAGTCTCATAGATTATCAGTACCCGGCATGGACTGTCCATGTAAAAATATACCCCAAAACAACACAATTTCTACCTGAAGACACAAGAATTAGCAAGTTTTACCTTCCTACATGAGTCAGCAAAGTGAGGAAGTGAATGGGGGTGTTTCCGCTGCAGCTATCCCTATAGAGTGACATACCGAATAAGAACAGGAAGGATACAAAAAACTATCTGCATGAATGGCCTTGTTTGCCCTCTCTCAATATAATGGTCTTACATGCTGGGGAGGATGACACAAGGAATTCCTGAAGGGCAGGAGAACTTGAGAAGACACTTGCTGTATGGCCACTTAGTAGATGCAGTGCTACTTCCTGCTTTGTATTACCATGAGCTACATTAATTCAGCCCAGTTGTTTTGCTTTTTAAGATGGACAACAAAAAAGAATTTACAAACTCAAATTAGACAATCTGAAAGTTTACATATTTCACACAATATGATGTACATTTTCCCTCCATCCCAATACTATTAATTAATAAAATAAGATTTCTTTGGTAATGCAGTGAGCCCAGGTTTTCCCTGCAAACATCACTTCTCATGGGCTGCACATAACCCTCTACTGCAAACTGTAACAAGAAGTTCTTCCTTCATGAAGGTCATGCATAAAGTGTGCCTGAAGTTCTTACTTTTTCTATACATGCTACCATAGACCTTGAAAACTCATATTCAGATATTCATATTCCTGCAGATATGACTGGATTTGCAAGGATTTTCACACCGTCCAACAGAATACCACGTATCAAAATCAGAAGTGCTGACACTGAATGAAATTGGGAATTGACTATAAAGATAAGAATCAAATTACTCAAAAGTTAGATAAGATGTGGTTATCAACTGGTAGGATGCACAAAAACTTCACGTGAGTAACAAATCTCCTTTTTTTGTACTACTTCAAATATCGATCACAGGAGGAGAAAAAAAAAATGTGTCTGGAATAGAATGCCTCTATCCTCTGAGAAAGCAGCTCATCTCAGCCTCCAGGTGCATTGCTGTGCCAGTTCTGTTATGTTAAAAACACACAGCACTGGAACATGAATGATAAGAAACAAAAAAATGCCATAAAACTGCTCTATGCCATTCTCTCTTCTTCACCTGAAAACAAAGGCAGGATGTATTGTCTGCGAGTATCAGAGGAATGAACTATCATTAGTTCTATCACCTGCGCCCTGAAAAAATTCTTCAGATTTATTTTCCTGAAGTAGGAGTTCTGCAGCCATCTCAAGAGAGCAAAAACAAATTACGGCATTCTCGGCTTATGAAATTTTCAGTGACAAAGATGCAGCCTACTGTTTACAAATGTTTTTATGGTAAGGATCTGTTATTTAATATTCAAGCAGTGTCAGCGCATAAATCACATGGCTGAGGGAAAATTCAAAATTTTGATCTCACCGTAATAGTGGCACTGTAGTATTTTCAGACAGGAGTCTATTTAAGAATCTATTTTAATATTCACTGTTTGCATTAGTTTGTTATTTTCTCTCAGCGTGGACAATAAATAGGTCAAGATGTTGTACAAGCAGAATTCAACAATAGAAAACTCTGAACCATTCCTATAACATATCTCATCTTTTATCTCAGAGTACTCAGTACTACTGTCTCCATTTCAGTGATGAAAAAATTGACATTTAGAGGCAAAATAACGTTGTAAGGGCTAAACTTCTGTACAGGTGGAAATGCAAGCCAGACTTCCTATTTCAAGTGTCTGATCCACATTGTTGATTAATGTCATCTCGTCTGTTGATGTAGAGCCACATTTAACTCAGCTAACTTTTAGGTCAGTGACAACTATTCTCACTCCCAAACTGTCCAGGCTTGCCATGCTGAGCCTGAAGGATCAAACACTCATCACTCGCTAATCCCACACCTTAATTTCCACCCGTGCGGGGTTTTATTTTCTCCTTCCCTTTTTCCAATTTGTCCAAAGAGCAAGCTGGTGCACATTCTTATAAACCTTTAATTAACAAGCTGAAAAGACATTTTTCTGGCAATGCCTGACCTTTAAGCACTTTGTATGAATTTATCGATACCAGCAGAAACAATAATTTAAAAGGTTATTTTATGAGTGCTGAATAGTTTATGGCAGCACTTTTGTCAAGATAAATGAGTTTCTTATTACTACATTTACAGCTCTGAGCATTTTAATAAAAAAGGTCTATAAAAGTCAAAGATAACTTCAAATCTTTCCTCTATCTAAGTCTGCTTGGGTTTTTCCGCTGACCCCCTGAAATACCTGCAGTGTGGAAAGAGAACCAAAATGAAAAGTGATAGGAGGAAATTAAGAGCCAACTTTCTGTTTGCCTACAAACAAGCAACTTCACAGTGTAGGAGATCTGCAGTTTAAGCCCGTGAGTAAATGTTACCCAGTATCATGTTCTGAAGGATCTCACATTTTGAATTGCAAAAACAGGTGAAGAGAAGCAAATGAAATAATATGGATGTAGGTTGCTCCAAAAGTAATACTTTCTGTTTATTTCCATGGAAACTACATCAGATACAAAGAGCACAATAACACTATTTGATAGAGCACATTCTCAGCTACAGAAAACTATTTTTCAACATACTCTCCATCAGTAGCTATGCATTTTTGCCAGCAATGAACAAAAGCCTGCATGCTGCGCCCATAAAAATCCCCATGGCTGCCTGGAATGTGGCTTGGATTTCATGCTGCTGTCACCACTACTGAAATACTGCCCCCACCACCTCAGTGTGCTAAGATCCATGGTTTGGTATCCATCAACACTGAGCAAGCATTGATGAATATCAGTGGATGCCATTATTTCCACATGGAGGAATTCAGTTGCATTCCTTGCTTCATATACACTTCCATGTCAGACACCAGTTTGCCAGACTGCCCCTCTGCTGTCATCTGTCAAGCAACAACAAAATGTAATGAACTACTGGTGGGAGGGTTCGACTTCTACTGCCATACCACCAGCATCACCCTCAGATGTCATGGGCCAACATAATAAAATAGG